TTATGAGTAATTTAGACATTGGTTATTACATTGATGCCTTATTTATCGATTTTTTAAAAGCATTTGACCCCATTATTCGCAGCAAGCTTCTATGTAAACTAGAGGTAATTTTAAATAATCCACAACTGGTAGACTGGATAGCAAGCTTTCTAAGCTCACGCTTTCCATTCGTTTCAATTCCAAGCCATCCTCATCCGCAAAAATTACATTTGGTGTCCCACAGGGCTTCATTTTCGGTCCTCAGTTATCTTTAGTTTTTATAAACGATCTTCCCAGCAATATTAAGTCCCAAGTTCGCCTTTGCACCGATGATTCTGTACTTTATCAGGTAATCACTTCTTCTAATGATCATATGATACTTCAGTATTCTTTCTGGCATTTTTGTTCCTGGTGCTCGGAATGGCAGATGTGCATAAACTTCCAAAAAACCGTAGTTTTTCACTCACAAGCAGCCATTTGCTATAACATCATGCATACTCCTTAAACAACATCGCTGTTCCCCGGGTACAGACATAAAAATATCTTGGCATTATATTCACACACAACATGGAATGGTCACACCGCATAGACTCCATTACATCAAAAGCATTAAAAAAATTAGGTCACTTAAGATGTATGTCAGCTACATCTCCGAAATCCACCAAATTGCTAATGTACAGAACACTGATTCATCCTATATTAGAGTACGCTTTGTGCATACAGAATCCTGACAAAGTGTGTAATGTAGATAAAATTGAATCTGCACAGAATAAATCTGTTTGTGTTATTTTTCATCGCTATGACCATGATTTTTCTCTATCATGTTCAATGAAATCTTTGAAGTTATCACTATATTGTATTAGGAGTGATATGGACTCTTTGAAACCACTGCACTCTTTCATTCATTCGTCATGCTAGTTATCTAATGACAATTACGTCATGTGTACTAGTGCTCTACTAACAAAAAGACATCAAAATTTTAACATTAAGCCATTTTTTGCATGTGCTAACGTGTTCAAATACAGTTTTCTCTAAGAACAATTGTTTACTGGAGCAATTCACCAGACTCTGTTCATGAAATGAATATATCAAATTTTTGGAACCATTTGAGTGATGTTAATATTTTTTCTCTCATTCTATACCCGGTTGTGCTTAGTGCAGATAATATTTGTACTGTAATAACATGTTATGATATTGTTGTTATTCTTTGCTCTTGTACCCTATGTACTCGACTCCTGCAATAGCCCTAAATTGGGTTGCAGTATTTGAAAATAAATAAATAATAAAAGAATACCGAAGCAAAGACCCCATGCAAACGTCTCCTTTCTTCTGAATACATTCTGTCACTCTAACTTTTATTGGGTTGTGTTGCCTAGTGAAATGAAACGAAAACTCGATTCGCACCCCGCTGTGATGCTTTCATGTCCCACCATGTTTGCCCGTAGGTGGAAATAATGTGCAATTTTTTTCTTCTTTTTCACTTTTACTGATTGCCAATGTAGCTTGGCTCCTTGCGCTGGACCAGTGCTTAGAAGACAATGAAAGAGAACAGCCGATCCAGCGAATGAGCACTGTGATGTCGTCCCTAGCATTGAAATAAATAAATTAAAAAAAAATAGAACACCGCACTTTATACCTAAATATGTACCACACATGCGCCGTATTTTTTCTGCATCTTCGGCCAGTGGCCGTTTTCCCAATATCTATGGCAAAGCCCATAGAATGATCTGCTGCACCATAAGAAATTGCCCGGTTAATGAGTTAGGAGGTGGGGGAACATTTCACACAAACTTATTATCGCAACTCCCTTGGAGACAGAAAACGGAAGCTCATATGGCTCAGTTCAAACAAAGACGAAGAGCCCTGAAAATGTTCTTTATAAAATACGCAAACGATCCCCACACGTAGTTCACCTTGTATGATGATATATCAACCAGCTCACCAAGCCATCCCCGAGTATAGTCATTCGGCTTCAGGAAGTGGCAATGTCATGGATGAACCCAATTCCTCAGATGCACGCAAATTTACAAGACACACAACCCAAGCACCCGCAGCTGGCTTATAGGCATAGGCAAACTACTGCTCAATATCCGTTTTGCTAAGGATCAATCTATTTCGATGCACTGTGTCTCTACTCAACTGTTCCAAGTGGAAATTCCCTACAGCCCAAACAAACAAGAAGAATTAATGCACTCTGCATTAGAGGTGCCAAGACACTAGGGATGCGTGGAGTCGAGCAGCCTTTGTTTTACCTCCTTGGTTTTCTCTTTTTTTTCTTGCTCCCCATTCTCGTTTTTATTTATTTTTTTTTTTATTTCTTGCTCTCTTTGTATCTATTTCTTCCTCTTTTGCACTCTTTTTATTTTTCTTCATAATCTTTCCATTTCTATTTCTTTCTATTTCATGCTTGCTCATTCTTCTTTTTTTGCATTTTTATAGTATGTGGTTTTGACTAAGTAACACCAAGCGCACTAGTTGCTCTTTTGCTAACGATCATAAGCTATGATCATCAAGGCACTCGAAATACAACAGCAAGAGCTCTTGGTGAGTGAGAGCACGCACTCAATATGCTACACATAAAGCATTCACCAAGCGACGACGACCGCACAAATCAGCTTGTTCCCCTAAAGTGCTTTGCACTTATAAACTATTGAACTATCAAGTACAGTATAAGTATAAGTGTAAACAAAGTATAAACAAAGTGACTTGAGTTCAAACTTTACTAAAGCCTTTTATTTATTTTAAATATATAGGAAAAAATTATTTTGCAGTCTCTGTTGTAAGATACACTCATCTGCATGTTTTTAATGGGAGGTGCGATTAAAAAAATAAAGTTGCATAAATCTGTAGCCTTGGGCAATGAAATTTTTGCTGTATATATGTAGGCCATTATGCTGATTTAAAATATGTATTTAGTTTCATAGTAAGTTGCACAGTTCTTGTTTTAAGCTATGACAATGTGAAAAGTATAGATGCGTTTTGGGCAAACATTTCATCCATCTAAACTTTTATGGTTCTGAGCCACTACAGGCTCAATTTCTCTATATCAACTGTAGAATGCAAATAATTATCAAGAAAATGTATAAAGACACTTATAATGGACAAAAAAAATGTAACCAAGTATGCTTAGAGCTTTCAACCCATACTAAATGCTTACTTTAGGTTTCTAATATTTATACATGTGATACCAAGATTTAAAGGAGATAGTTGCACTCTTCACATGTTAAGGAGTATGTGGGCAAAATTTCATCCCATTCAGGCTATCAGAAATACCAAGAATATGATTTCTAAACCCAAGAAGTTGCCCAAAAATGATTTTTGAGAAAAACAGATATTAATGGTTCATTTATGTGAAAAAGATATGATTTGTTCAGGTGATTTTTTCCTTCATGAGAGCTTGACAATCATGGTGTTTTTGAGCATGTGGCTTTATTGAACTCTTAACACAAAATGCAATGGCAAACAAAAAGATAATAGTTTTTGGGGACTCTAGACAATGAGCTATTTTTAGCTTTTAGTAGCCACCTTGCACTCAATAAAAGCGATTTCAACCTGCTTTGAGTTTACTTACAATCGTCAGTTTTTTTTTGTCATGAAAGTAGAGAAACTAAACTTGTGAAAGCAAATAAAAATGAAAAATATATCATTTTGGAAAAACTGTGCAATTTTTTACTCTCATCTCCCCTTAATAGCCAACTAATGCGATGCTAGTAAAGTGGTGCAGCCAATGTACAACTATTCTTGTATGTTGTATTGTGCAGGTTGACGATTCCCTGCTTTTTTTTGTAGAAGTGATGCAGGTGGCTTTCGCTATTTTAGATGAGCTTTTCTGGAAGAGGAAAAATAGAACTTCGAAGCAAAAATTAATTGCTCACAGCCATGATTGCAAACTGAGTATATATAAATGTAGCAGAATTTGTTCATAATATATTTACCTTTATGTAATGCGAGTGTATTTCCCAATTTTCGCTACCTGCAGTCAACCCTCATGTTACAATCAAATACTAAAATTCAAGAGGTTGAAAAATGCAATGATGCACACATTTCTTTGTTTTGCTAAATTCTTATAGTACATTGCAGGAAAAACACAACTCAACTTCCAACACGCGATAACGTACAATTCAAAGTCATCTCGTAGTTTCACTTGAAAAGCTAAGCATTGAGACAGAACTATCCCAGCCCCTGCACGACATTTCTGTTGTTGTAAACTATTATTGGGGAAACTTGGTTCCACAAAAAGAAAGGATGGAGGGCAAAGAGGCTACAAAAGCTGCTGTCTTTGCTCTGCTTATTTCGGATGCAAATTGCATTATTAATTCCAACTGAAAAATGTGGACCAAGCATGATTGATGACACTGGCTGCACAACTTTCCACACTATGCTTCGTCGACTCATTCTTATACCGAATATATTGTTAAAACCACAACCATTATAGTAAATTAATTCGGCTGAACTTCCAGTAGCAGTGGTGCTGACTCATCGAACCATTCAGAGGAGCTTACATCACCGGAGCTCTTCTTGACAGGGTTCATGCCAAAAAGTACAGGATAGATCACCCAAATCCAAACATTATTTTCTGTAGTATGATCTTTAATGCCTATGAGAAATTTCTTAGGACACAGTAGCATAAATATTTTAGTAGCAACTTGCAGGCTCAGACCAGCTGGTCCATCTTGCAAACAACTTGAAGCAGAGCGAAAAAATGAGAAAAAGAACAGTCACTTTGCGTGTGTTCCTTGTATGTCCTTGTATTTTCACACTGCTTCAGGTTATTCAGAAATATTTTCGGATAGTCTAGACTGGAGGATGGGCTGAACTATCTGCTTCAAAGTATCCATTGAGTGACATAAAACTTTGCCGAGTCCCTGCTGCAGCTCTTGTGTGATGCACAGCCACCATAAGACTTTCATTTATTTACAAATACCACCATTCATCAGCAGATTATCCTAAATCGATCCCACATTCACCCGAGTAAAAGCTTCTGAATATTTACAGCTGCATGTCCATAAAGATGAACTTGCCTGGTTCAGTGATCAGCTTGCCGTCCCCTGTTCCTGGTGACACAGTAATGCACAGGTCTGCTGGGAATAGTTTAACAAGTGATTCCCACTCCTGTGGCCAGATGGCAACAGCTCTGCAAAAACAGGGGCGCTCGGTGTAGCCACTTTGCCTCAGGGGTAATAAAAGCTAACACAACTGTCTGCACTCCTATATCTCCCACTATATCTTCCTATATGAGAACTCCATCTGATTGTCTGTTGCCTTCCATCTTATTTCCCATTCCCTCGTGCTGCACTATTTTACTCTAACAGTCTAAAACTTATCTGTTTCTTCAGCCCGACGACATCACTTTCCCTTAACCTCAGCTAGTGTATCATTTACCTGTCCTCTACTCCTGTTAGAATAATGTCTTTCTATATTTGTCTTAACTATGTACAGTAGAATCTCCATGATACGAATTTGCAAGGGGGCACGCAAAATATTCATATCATCTCGAATTCGTTTGAACCAAAAAAAGGTAAAAGCTGCATCATGACGATGGAACCCGAACTTTATTGTTGTCAACTACTACTTGCTGCTACTACTCGCTGAAAAAGAGTCCATGATGTTCTTTTGAACTTTCCTGCTTTCACCGCCTCTCAATAAAGTGCCGTGGTTTCCTTCATTCATGCTGCTGGCACTTAAAGCCCACTCACACTTGGCATCAAAGGAGTGAAAGTGGGAAAACTTATTGGAAATCCGCTCGCTTCGCCACTTAGGCGGCCAGAAAAACACGCCGCGATATCGACACTGAAAAAAACGAATACTGGAGAATTCACACAGGAGAATTCAAGCGAAAATGCCGGAGTGGCCGCAAAACCACATCCGTGCCCGCCGAAAATGTTTACATTGTTCTGCCCCTCGTATACATGTTACCGCTGCTGCCTGTGTCCCTTGAGAATTCATTCTATTTTGGGCATTTCCTGAGGATTGAAATTTGTATCGAGTTTTTTGCGTGCAAGCTTACGTCTGTACAAACATTCTTTCGGGAACTACGCCAGCAGAAACAACACAAGCGGACGCACTGGCTGCGGCGACAACGAATTCAGCCAACAGTTTAGGCATGCAGACTCGCTGTTGCTGCATTTTCTACTTCCAGTGTTCACAGCGATCGTAATCCAAAATCCAAACCAGGCTCTCGACGAATGCATCCTTGTCAAGGCCGTGAGCTTTTCCGTGCTACGCGAGTAGTTCGCAATTACGCTGATGCATTTGCCGCCATCTTGAATTTGCGGCTCGTTTACATCACGTGGTTTGAGAGCTAGTGCAGCCAGTGTAGCGTTGAGCGGTGTAGCCAAAGCCGTGAAAGAAAAAAGCGATCTGCGATAGCGTGGCGGAAACTTTAGTCTCGAACCGACCTTTTTGTGTCAGCCTTGCAGCGAGGTTTTCTGCCTACTTAGGGAGCGAAGTGAAGGAAATTCCTAGGAGCTTTGCCTCATTCACTCCTTTCGAGGTCAAGTGTGAACGAGCCTTCCTCCGACGAACAATCCATGTTGCGTCGTTCGCGTGCAACGGTCAAAGGTGCGTTCACATTATTCACAGCGGCTGGGAAAACCATTCGTATAACACTGAATCATGGCTTCTTTTACATACTGTAGTCAATTCGGAGCAGCTCTACAATTCGTATCATCTCAAAATTCACATCTACTGTAATCCTGTCATAGAGATTCTACTGTATGTAGTACCATAGATCAACTTAACAGTTGCAATTCTACTGTTTGGCTTTTATGCTTCATCTACATAGCTCAGTTCACATATACATGCTGTATTGCACATATTCAATGAGCCAAAAGTTCAAAAATCAAACGTGATACTCAATCAATGTTCACAGCGGAAAATGCCCAGTTCCAAATAGATTCAGAAGTAGTGCACTTGGTTGTTTACACAAAAGACATGTATACCGTTTGTTGCACTAACAAGCACCTAATAACCTTGTTTGCTTATTTAAGACCAGCTTTGCAACCTTCCACAACAATGCAATAATGCGTACCTGCATTCTTAACATACCTGTCTTCATCTTGGGGCAGGTGCAAAAGAAGACCATGTGGACAAAGGAGGTCGGTGTTAACTATGTTCGTGGGCCGCTCTTTTGCTAGAGGATACCTGCACAGCAAAGTGCATGCACATGTTATGCTGAACAAATTTTCTACATGAACAAAAGGTGGCATGTGCAATTGCTCATCGGCATGTCTTTGCCTTTGAATATTTATTTATTAAAAAATACAACGTAGGCATATAAATATACATCTGGAGGTCCCAAAGTAAAAACTGTTTGGGGGACATCTAAACAAAAAAGCAAATGGGGGTTACAATAGCCACGGCAAACAGTGAGTTATGCATTTTATGCAACATGAAGAGCATCAACAGCAAAGGTGATATTTAATCATAAACACATAAACTATGCACATTTTTCAAAAACATGAAAAGTGTTTGCAGTTTAAGAAGCGGATCCCTACCGATGAGCATCCCAGGGTGTAGAGGGAGCTGCTGTCGGTAGGGCAGTAAAAAATGCTTTTTTCTTAGAGCATCTAGCTCATTGCACTGGACAAGAATGTGGAGAACCGTAAGGGGTTCTCCACATCTCTCACAGTATGGTGGATTGCCGGTAGATAGAAGAAATGAATGTGTAGAATGTGCATGTCCTGTTCTAAGCCTTGTTAGTATTACTTCTGTGTGTCGTGATTTTGATAGTGGCGGCCAATAACCTAGTTGCGGCTTAATAGCATGGAGTTTATTATCTGTGTGTTTATCCCACATGCTCTGCCAATACCCCCTGAGCTTTCGTTTTAGAAAAGGTTTTAAGTCAAGTGCAAGGATTGGTATTGATGCATTGGGAGTAGTGTCGTTGGCGGAAGCAGCCAGATTGTCGGCCAAAACGTTCTCTTGTATCTCACGGTGCCCTGGAACCCAGCAGACAACAACATGCTGTTTTGATGTGTACAGTGTGCACAGAAGTGAGTAAAGTGACATCAGCACAGGGTTCTTGTGTTTTTTAGGAGTTTTCAGGGCTTTGACCACGCTTAGGGAATCTGTGTATATTACCGCCTTTTGTAATTTTATCTGTTTGTGTTTTACGACCACCAGTATTGCATAAGCTTCTCCTGTGAAAACTCTTGCATCAGGATAAAGAACGCCGGCCTCGAAAAAGGATTGGCCTACCGCTGCATATGACACAGATGTGTTTGATTTTGACGCATCGGTAAAAAACTCAGGGCATGTGTAATTATGTTGTAGTTCTAGGAAGTATGTATGTATGTGTGCAAGTGGTGCGTGCTTTGTGACTTCAACAAAAGAGACATCACGGCCTATAAGCTGCCACTGCCACGGTGGCAGATATGTTGCAGAAGCCATCAAACTGTGTTCAAGAAGAGGCACACCTGTTTCTTCGGCCAGGCCCCTTACACGGGGCGTGTAGGGCTGCCTAAGCGAAGGACGGTTCTCGAACAAGCCAGAACAAGACAAATCATTAATTGTGAAATGGGAAGGGTGTTTCTTGTCTGACTTCACCTTCAAAAAGTATAAAAAGGACAGGAAACAACTTTGTAAATGGAGGGACCATTCATTCGAATCCACGTACAGGCTCTCCACAGGGCTAGTTTGGAAAGCACCCGTAGAAAGGCGAATGCCTAGATGGTGGACAGGGTCGAGAATTTTCAAGGCTGATGGTGTTGCCGACTGATTGATTATAGCACCGTAATCTAGGCGTGTGCGTACGAGGCTTTTATATAAATTCATTAGACATTTCGTGTCACTACCCCATGTAGTGCGTGACAACACTTTCAAAATGTTCATTGTTTTTAAGCACCTGTCCTTTAAATACTTGATGTGTGGGATGAAGGTTAGTTTAGTGTCTAATATGAGACCAAGAAACTTGTGCTCGGTCTTCACTGACAGAGGTTGACCATGCAGGTCAATGTCGGGGTCAGGATGGAGGCCCCTCTTTCGGCTGAACAAGACGCAAGTGCTCTTTTGCACGTTGAGTATAAAACCATGCTCGTTTGCCTATTGAGATACTTTCTTCAACCCAAGTTGAACTTGACGTTGGTACATTGAGATGTTGCACGACTTGTAACCAATCTGTATATCATCGACATATATGCAGTATAGAATATTTCGTGGGAGAGACAGGTGCAAGGAATTTACTTTAACCATGAAAAGTGTGCAGCTCAATACACTTCCTTGTGGCACTCCTGTTTCTTGGACACATGAAAAGTGTGCAGCTCAATACACTTCCTTGTGGCACTCCTGTTTCTTGGACAAATACTTGAGATAAGACAGTGCCAACTCGGACACGGAATGTATGGTTGGACAGGTAGCTTTCGATAATTGTCAGCATTCTACCCCGCACACCTAAATGTGACAGGTCTCGCAATATGCCAAAGCGCCATGTAGTGTCATATGCCTTTTCCATATCGAGGAACACAGAAAAAAAAATTGCTTATGAACAAAAGCGTCGCGAATTCGTGCCTCGATACGGACAAGGTGGTCAGTGGTGGACCGGGCCTCTCGAAACCCACACTGGTATGGGTCAAGTAGGCCATTAATTTCAAGGAAGTGCATCAGGCGCCTGTTAATCATTTTTTCAAAGACCTTGCAAAGACAGCTGGTTAATGCTATTGGCCTGTCGCTGGAAATTGAGGCCGGGTCCTTGCCTTGTTTTTGAATTGGGATAACGATAGCTTCCTTCCAGGCTGAGGGTAGCTCGCTGGAAGACCATATCGCATTATACAGAGAGAGGAGAGCTTTCTGGGTTTCAGTGGGCAGGTGTTTTAACATTTCATATGCCATACGGTCTGGGCCTGGGGTAGATTTATTGCAGCAGAAAAGTAAGGCTTGTAGTTCAGCCAAACAGAAAGGTTCATTGTATGCCCCATGTGTTGTGCGCTTGCGCTCTAATCTCTGTTTTTCTATTGTGGTTTTGTATCGTCGGAACGCTTCACTATAGTGTGTTGAGCTGGAGACCTGTTCGAAGTGCACTCCGAGAGTGTTTGCCTGGTCTTCCAAACTCTCCCCTTGTGTGTTCACTAGAGGAAGTGAATGTGCTTTTCGTCCTGCCACCTTACCAACCATGCTCCAGACTCTCGACTCATCTGTGTATGAGTTAATGCCTGATAAAAATTTGTGCCAACTTTCCCTTCTCGCCTGTCGGCGCGTCCTCCTTGCTTGCGACTTGACGTTCTTAAAGTTTACAAGATTCTCGGCTGTGGGCGAGTCTCTAAGCAACTTCCATGCCTTGTTTTGTTTTTTTCGAGCATCACGGCACTCATTATTCCACCATGGGACTTGTCGTTTGCTTGATGGTCCACATGTTTGGGGAATACATTTTGTAGCTGCATCAACCAAGAAAGCTGTAAAGTAGCATACAGCATCCTCTATGCTCAACGCCGCCATGTCAGTCCAAGATAATACAGTCATTTTTTTGAAACTTTTCCCAATAAGATTTGTCGGTGAGCCATTTGGGAACTTGTGCAGGACATGTATTCGTTATTGATGTGCTAATAACGATAGGAAAATGGTCACTTCCATATGGATCATTAATGACTTCCCATTTAAGTAGAGGCAGGAGTGATGGGGTTGTTAAGCTGAGGTCTACTGCTCAGTATGTATTGTTAGCGATGTCGTAATATGTTGCCTCTTTCTAATTCAGGAGGCAAGCACCGGAAGAAAAAAGGAACTGTTCAATCAGGCGACCTCACACATGTGAGCGAGAGTCACCCCAGAGGCTACCATGTGCATTAAAATCTCCTAAGAAAAGGTAGGCTTCTGGTAGTTCATCTATGAAGGACTGGAATTCATTCTTTTCAAGGCGGTGTTGTGGAGGTATGTAGAGAGAGCAGATGGTGACGAGCTCATTCAAAAGAACTGCTCGAACAGCCACCGCCTCAAGGGATGTTTGTAGTGGTAGGTGTGTGCATGCAATTCTTTGATCGACTATAATAGCAACACCACCGGATGGCACAATGTCATCATTCCGGTCCTTCCGAAAAGTAACGTAATGTCGTAAAAAATTGGTGTATTTAGGTTTCAGGTGTGTCTCTTGTATGCACAGCACCTTAGGTGTGTGTTTGTGTAAAAGTTCCTGGATATCGTCGAGGTTTCTCAGCAGTCCTCTGATGTTCCACTGTAGTATTTGTGTCATTTTAATGTTGTGTGGTGCTGTGTGCACAAATGTGTTGCGTTAGGTTACAGGGACTTTTGGGGGCCCCGTGATTCGAGGTTTTTCTTTTTTGGCGCGCTCCATGGAGTTGCGCCTATTCTTCGGCATCTGAGGCGCCGGAGGAGTGGGACTTGTATCCATCACCTCTTGTGAGGTGGTAGATGGTGCCTGCTCAGCAGGCATGGTCATAGTACTTTCAAACCTAACTGCACTTGCAGTGGTCCGAGATTCAGCAGACACGGGGGTCTGCCGGCCCTGTTTGTCAGGTGGCGGAGCAGTACAGGCTGCTCCAGCCGGGGGCGCTGGTGGTACGACCGCGGCCACACAGTGTGTGACATTCGCGGGTGCAGAGACATGTGGCGCGGCGCCCCGGCGCGTCACATCTGCGAAGGAGGGATAAGATGGGTTGTGTAGTGCGAAACGTTGGCGTGCTTCTTGGAATGAGAGATTGAATTTCACTTTAAGTTCTACTATTTGTTTCTCTGTTTTCCATGCGGGGCATGATCGCGAGTAAGCAGCGTGATCTCCTTCACAGTTCGAGCAATGAGTTGTTTCTGAGGAGCAATTGTCGGATATGTGTTGCATGGATGCACACTTTGCACAAGTGGCGCGCCCTCTGCAAATCTGCGATCCATGACTGAAACGTTGACACTTGAAACATCGACGAGGGTTGGGAATGTATGGTGTGATGGTTAAGGACGTTCGTCACCGTGTTTGTTTATAGCGGACGAAAAAGGATTAACATCAACAATGGATGCGAACAAAAGAAGCGTTATATTATACACTAGAGAACGAAGTGGCAGGTGAAAATAAAACTATATGTCCAACCCTACACGCCACGCGTCACGCAACATGTACGAGAGTCGGACCTCTAGCATGCGGAGAGCTCGCGGCTACGCTTACACCGAGTCCAGCGCGTAGAGTTCTCAGTTCGCAAGAGAAAAAC